GGAAAATTTTCAGAGATGAATCTATCAAGCTGCGTTATGTATTTAAGTGCGCGATGAAGTAATCTTGAATAATGTTTCTGCTCACTTTTTATTGGGCGCTTATTTCATCTCCTGCGGTGATTTATTGCGTAGGGGGTGTAAATTCATATTCAGATGTGGCTGAATGTTTACATGAGGGAAATATGTTTTTCGATTTTTGGATATTAAATTTGTTGTGCTTACAAGTCTCTGGATTTAAAATTCTTGTATTCAACGTTGGGTCTAGTTAGACCCAAGTTGGAGGTACCACTATGCTTTTATTATAATCTACAAAATGTTGATTATTTGTAGTTCTACCATTCTCAGGTCTGTCAATGTATCTAAAATGTCCAACGTCCCCAGGTTTTACAGATATCAATCTTGCAAATTAATAAGCTCTCCTACAGTTATTAAAACACCACACGCATGTATACTAAAACTCAAGCAACCATAATGGCAATATAATATCCCGCCTCGGTTGAAGCAACCTCCATCGCGTCCATAAGAGGTGAATTAACACGATATCAGCTCGTAACCTTTAATTTATTATGCAATCGGATTTCCATTCACCGAAGTTCATTCGATAATTCAAAGTATGCTTCATTATTGAGGTAACCTAGTTACTTTAGCGCGGCCATATCGGCGGCGTGGAGATTCAAGAAAATTTATGCGCCACAAACGCAACGTCTACTCGAGGAGCACAAACGTTTCCTTCGTTTCTTGATAAAATAAACCGGAGAAGTTATTTCCGATCGATATCAAACGAACCCCCTTCCGCGGAACTTCTTCCCGTTCGCGACAAAGCCGAAGACAAACGGCGCAGATTGTTAAACTCCCGTTTAATTCGGCGCTGTATAAACACTTCGGCGATGAATGAAGCCCGGTGAAATCGAGTGTAAATGAGAAGCTATGTTTGCTCGACACGCGGATTGAAGTGTCTGTTGAGCTTCCGAGTTCCTACTCTTTGAGGAGCACACGTGTAAGGAACTGCGCGAACAAACGATACGTGAAAATCATTTTAGAAGAGGAAACAATTTATTTTATTTGTTACCTTTTTCTGTTTGCTCTTTGATTCTCAAAATTTACATTCATACTTGTCCTAATCTTAATCTAATTTGATATAACTTAGCCTAATCTTAATCTAACTTGATCTAACTTACTCTAATCTTCGTCTAACCTGACCTAACTTACCCTAATCTTAATCTAACCTGACCGAACTTACTCTAATTTGACCTAACCTGACCTAAATTACTCTAATTTTGACCTAACCTGACCTAACTTACCCTAATATTAATCTAACCTGACCTAACTTACTCTAATTTTGACCTAACCTGACCTAACTTACCCTAATCTTAATCTAACCTGATCTAATTTATCCTAATCTTAACCTAACCTAATCAGTTATAATCTAATCTTAACCTAACCCAATCTAACTTACCCTAATCTTAATCTAACCTGAGATAACTTACCCTAATCTTAACCTAACCTGATCTAATTTATCCTAATCTTAACCTAACCTAATCAATTATAATCTAATCTTAACCTAACCCAATTTAACTTACCCTAATCTTAATCTAACCTGTCGTAACTTATCCTAATGTTAATCTAACCCAACCTAACCTAATATAATTTTAATCTAACCTAATCTTAACCTAACTTAAGTGAATTCAAACCTAACTCCAATCTAACCCTTGTTCCAATTAAACTATTTATTCTGAGATAATTGTATTTATTTTAGTGTTAACCGCACATGTGAACGATAAATGATGTGTGCATTAGCGCAGTTAGGTTTAGCGTTAATCAAGTATCCCGCAATCAGTATCGCGGTGAAAATGATCGATAGCTAAACGGAACAAGCAATGTAAGCATATTTCTGGCGACCGAATTCCAAACAGTGTGTCAATCAGGAAATTCGAAACAGCTCGAGCTGGCATAACTTTGATCGAGGGAAAATTTGGAGCACAGGTTAGCGTGATCGGTAGCGTTGGGTATCGTTAGCTACGGCCGAGCCGGTGAAATTCGCTTTGGCGGAAATTAGGTAACGCAACCGCTATCGGCCCACTAAATACCCTTTGCCGAGCTTAAAGCTTTCACCTCTGCGAACGCTTGAGCGTGTGTACTCGACCGAACGAACCTATCGACGGATCGATCAATGAGGATAATGACGTTTTCGAGGATTTTCCAAAATACAATGCTCCTCTTCCCATCGGGCTTTTGATGCCACTCTCTGTTTTGCAACTTCCTACCTTTCATCTTTAAACCCCTTAAAATTGCTACGAAACTATTTTGTTGCACTATCTCTGTTACTTTGAGAGATTAACGCGGAATCTCGTGGAAGAGAAAATTTGCAGGTGTGTTTTCATTTCGAAATTAGTTCACGTATCGCGAACCAAAAGTTGAATAGATTAATACATGAGCGACCTAATTTTTCATACACCCAGCACAAAGGGGTACATATACATTGCACACAGGTACAATTTTATATTTAATCTCTGTCAAGTATAATTTATTTTTGTAACTGAAAAAGTACGATACGATAACGTACACGCGATATATGCACGTATATGTATACCGTGTGACGCTGATGTTTTTGCGATAGTTTGAAAGAAGACAAAAATGTCACCGTGAAAAGGAGAGATAACAGATGGTTTGAACAGCGACGTATTGGGATAACAGAGATTCTGGTTCGTTTCATACCGTTCGTTGTAATCTATCATGAAATCTGAAGTTCAAAAGTGAAGATCAACGTGACAAGACAGTCTGTCAGCTGATTTCTGATAAGACAGAAGTCCCTGTTTTTTGGACCGTTTCCAAACGACGCTTTTCATCAATGGCTTTCTTGGAAAGCGATTTTATTTTTATACTTGCTTTATGTTATTTGAAACTTTGTCGAGGGCTCAGGTTTGAGAGTATGGAAAATTGAGAAATTGGGAAGTGGGAAAGTGGTTGTTGGGAAAATTGGACATGGGAAAATGGATAATGGGAAATTGAAAAATTTGGTACAAGAAAAACTACAAATTTAGAAATGTGGAAAATTAGAAAATTATAATTGAAGAATGGGAAATTGGGAAAATGGAAAATGGGGCAAATGGAAAATTGGGATATTGAGAAAATGGGAAAATGAGGAAAAAGGAATTGGGAAATGGGGAAGTTGGGTAATGGGGAAAATGGGAACTTGGGAAAATGGAAACTTGGGAAAATGGGAACTTGAGAAAATGGGAACTTGAGAGAATGGGAACTTGGGAAAATGGAAACTTGGGAAAATGGGAACTTGAGAAAATGGGAACTGGAGAAAATGGGAACTTGGGAAAATGGGGACTTGAGAAAATGAGAACTGGGAAAATGGGAACTTGTGAAAATGGGATCTTGGGAAAATGGGAACTTGAGAAAATTGGAACTTGGGAAAATTGGAACTTGGGAAAATGGGAACTTGGGAAAATGGGAACTTGAGAAAATGGGAACTTGGGAAAATGGGAACTTGGGAAAATGGGGACTTGGGAAAATGGGAATTTAATGGGAACTTGGGAAAATGGGAACTTGGGAAAATGGGAACTTGGGAAAATGGGAACTTGGGAAAATGGGAACTTGGGAAAATGGGAACTTGGGAAAATGGGAACTTGGGAAAATGGGAACTTGGGAAAATGGGAACTTGGGAAAATGGGAACTTGGGAAAATGGGAACTTGGGAAAATGGGAACTTGGGAAAATGGGAACTTGGGAAAATGGGAACTTGGGAAAATGGGAACTTGGGAAAATGGGAACTTGGGAAAATGGGAACTTGGGAAAATGGGAACTTGGGAAAATGGGAACTTGGGAAAATGGGAACTTGAGAAAATGGGAACTTGAAAAAATGGGAACTTGGGAAATGGGAACTTGTGAAAATGGGAACTTGTGAAAATGGGAACTTGGGAAAATGGGAATTGGGGAAAATGGGAAAATGGGAACTGGGGAAAATGGGAACTTGGGAAAATGGGAAATTGTGGAATTGGGAAAATGGGAAATAAGAAAATTAGGAAAATGGGAACTGAATAACGTGGAAAATAGGGAAAATCAGACATGGGAAAATAGTAAACCCAACTAAAAATTTACCAATCTATCAATCCAAAAATCTACAAATTCTCCATCTTAAAAATTCAGAAAATCTCTTCTGAAATTTACAAATATATTTCACTCTCCACAAATGCATCTTTATGGCGATACAAAGCGCGGTAATAAAGCCCGACACTATAAAGAACCTAGATTATTTATTCAACCAAGATTATAGCGTGATGTACACAGACATTAATCTTTTCCATTAGCATATTCTTCATGTTTCGTTGATCTCCAATTTGCATCACGGTTAGACGGAAATGGCACATAAATTCAGTAGGTTTAGCGGATGACTGTCTCAATTAGCTCCGTTAATAGAATGTAATGGTCTGGGGAATGAATTAGTGCATCGATTCGATGAAATTCTGTTTAATAGAAAACGGACATCGAGGAGATGTTATCACGACTCTACATTGATACGTCCTTTCTATCTTATTATATCAAACTATCCTTATAATCTCTGATTTTATTATTCAAACATTTATTAACACTTTGCTATTTCATTCCAGTATATTTACTTAACAATAAACATATTGATATTCATTTACTTTTAAATCTTTATTAATCCATTATTTTTTTATTAATATTTATTTATTAACAAATAACTATTATAATAAAACAGTCAAGTGTCAATTAATTTTAGTAAATGACTTAATAAATTAATTTAACGAAAATTTATTATGAAGAAGCTTCTTTTTATTATTATTGGACTACATTGAACTTATGCTTAGATTTTTAATTTTCTTTTAATGAGATAAATTCAATTATATTGTTTTAAGGGAAGAATGTAAATAAATGGTGGTATTTTATAAAATGTGTGAATGTAGAAATTTTATGTGATTTTTAAGTTGGTTGAAAAATTTTTTTAATAAACCATGAACTGCTCTGTTCCAGTGATGGTCGATTGGTAGAAGGAGATCAGATATTGGCGATAGATGGACAGCCACTAGACTCGAACATCTCTCATGAACAGGCTATCTCGATTCTTCAGAAGGCACGTGGTCTGGTTGAGTTGGTCGTAGCAAGAAGCGCCCAAGGTAATTGAATTTCAATTCTTTCCCTTCTTTTTCAAATAATCTATTAATACTGTCAGATCTATTATTGCTCATTGTTGCAAATTTAATTCAATCAAATCCCAAATCCTGTGATCCAATAATTATACCATAAAAAAATAATTTAATCAATGTCCTCCAAAAAAATAAATTTAATAATTAATATATCCTAAGAAAATAAATTTTGTGATTAATATTTGTAATGAAAAAAATGAACAATTAATATATCCTTAAAAATGAATTTAATAATTAATATATCTCAGAAGAATAAATTTTGTGATTAATATATGCTAAGAAAAAAAATAACAATTAATATATCCTTAAAAAATGAATTTAATAATTAATATATGTTAGGAAAATAAATTTTGTGATTTATATATGCTAAGAAAAAAAATAACAATTAATATATCCTTAAAAATGAATTTAATAATTAATACATCCTTAAGAAAATAAATTTGATAATTTATATATCCTCAGAAAATAAATTTACTATTTAATGTATCCTTAAAACTTCCCTTAATACTATCATAAATGTAATATCACCTCAACAAAAAGTTACATTTAACGACATGATAAAAGGAGGCCACTTGATATTCTGTTTTCGTGGTGAAACTATCCCGTCAAAAGTGACCAGGTAATTTAACTAGTTTGAAAATTTCAAATATGATATCCGGTGACCGAGGTATCGACTAATAGGAACTCTGTGTGGTTGGTAACACTGAAGTTCTGAACAACTCCGCAGTGTAAAAGTATCATGCGTTACCAGAGTACCAAACTGGATTACCTGTGGTGTTCATGAATTTCATGCTCGTCGAGCTAGAGAATATACCGCAACTTTCGTTTTATCATTTGCAACCTTTGAAAGAAATTATCAACCAATGTGAATAATTTATTTAAACTAAAATTGGATTGTTAGTTTGATAATTTGTTTGTTGTGGGAAGATCTAGGTTACATATTATTCTAGATCATATGAGAGATATGTCGTGGGTATGGAATCATATGTGATTTTCAGCTTCATATGATGCTAGCTCATATGTGGGATAAATATCTTAGGTTATATTTTATTCTAGATTGTATGAGAGACATATGTTGGATATGCAATCATATGTGACATAGGTCATATGGGATGTCATGTGGAGATCCTCATATGAACCAGATTAGGACTCCAGAATAGGAAGATCTTAGGACCCATATTATCCTACATCATATGAGAGATATGTCGTAGATATAACATATGTGATCCTCAACTTCATATGATGCTAGCTCATATGTGTAATACATCATACATATGAGATGTCACATGTAGATCTTTAGCTCTATATGAAACGTCATATGTAGATCTTTAGCTCCATATGAGACGTCATGCATAGATCTTTAGCTTCATATGGGACGTCGTATGTAGATCTTTAGCTCCATATGAGACGTCATACGTAAGATCTCTAGTTCCACATGAGACATCATATGTAGATCTTCAGCTCCATATGAAACGTCATATGTAGATCTTTAGCTCCATATGAGACGTCATGCATAGATCTTTAGCTTCGTATGAGACGTGATATGTAGATCTTCATATGAGACGTCATACGTAGATCTTCAGCTCCATATGAGACGTCATACGAACATCTTTAGCTCCACATGAGACGTCATATGTAGATCTCTAGCTCCACATGATTCTAGACTACACATGTATGGAAAATATATCACAGCTATCAAATCACATATGACATACATCATATGTACTACGCAGATCTCCAACTCCACATGATTCTACACATGTAACATACATCATATGCAAGATCACACATGACACGAATCATACAGAATGTCACACATAGATCTCCCGCTCCATTGATTCTAAAACACATGCATATATCATAGTAACACATGTGACATATGTGATATCACACATGTATGATACACCATGTAGACAAAATACCACAGATCCTCCAACCGTGCACTATTATTTGTTTAAAAGTATTCAAGCTTGCACTGCCATATATCGCCACGATTCACGTGACAGTAACCACCCGGTGCAATCGTAAAATTCTCGTAGCAATTTATTATCCATGGCGCTTGTAGAGGCATATTTTTCTTTCGGACAGACGTTGGGAGCTCTTTGCAAACGGATGAATTATCCGGAGCGTCGAGTTCGACAGCGGCCGCGGGAGCAGGTGTGTCCATCATCGGCGGCGTTGTCGGCGGTACAACGAACCAGACGATTTCCGACAAGGATCAATCGGTGTCAACCTCGTCCATCGTTACAGCAGCGGCGACCTCGAAGTCCAGCCAACCAGTCAGCACCACCTCGGCAGCAACACCGACACCGACACCACCGACATCGACCCCGGTGCCTGGGGGCCTCGTTGTCGAAAGGAGCCCCTCCGCCGTCAGCGACGCCTCCAAGAGTGGCTCTGACATGGTGGTAAGTATCGACATCATGCTTTAACCCCTGCGTGTCAATAACCTCGGCTACACTGACGGCGATATTGATAAGTCGACTTCTATACCATATATCCGGATTTTCTTATTAATTTCTGGGTGAAATATGATGCGAAATTCTCTGCACTATTTTTGTTAAATAAGGTAGAATTTTGTTAATCGGTAGTAGCTTTGGTGAGGGATGTGATGGTAAAATTTTGCAAATTCGTAAAGGAGGAGGATTTCAAAAGTTTGAGTGCTTCTAGAGCGATTCCTCTTCCTATATCGCCATAACGGGTTAACGAAAGTAGCTCGTTCGTCATCGAAATTCGACAGAAATCCACACCAGCGTCACCTTACCCTTTATCTCAGCTCAGAAAAAAGTTGAAATATTTACCGACATCGGATCCTCGAAGATATGCCCTGCGGGTCAACGATATGCCCCGTCAATGGTATCATCGGAACGTCGGTTTGGCAAACACGGCTCCATAATGTTCCAGCTAGCTCGAGTTTCGTTGAAAGGTTGCCACTCGGTGTCGAGGAGGCATCGTTCCTCTTCCTGGCTCCTTTGTGTCCCCTTCTTCTCCATCGTCTCCCCTTTTGTCACCGAAAGACTCCTCCGGGACGCGATAAAGATTCACGGCGATATAAATTGCCGATCGATCGGTTCGATCGTCGTTGTAATTGGCCTCATTTGGATACAGCCACAGTTACGCCTTTTTTCCTGGGCGAATTCCTCCTTTCCGTCGTTTCACGCCACGGCAACAGGAACGGCCGCGCCGCGACGCCGGAAATAGAATTATTGGCGGCGCGATTTTACCGGAGATGGCACGGTCACCGTATTTTTCACGCCAGATTTGTCGGGGCTTCTCGAGGAGATAACGATCGCATTATTTCAAAGGATGGGCCAATTTCTCCTTTAGAGCTGCCATTTTTTCTTTTCGGTGCGGTGGCTTTTTATAAGTTAGATATATTGCAACTTTCTATTTATGAGATATCTGTGCTTGCGTTCTTTTATTAACTTTATTCTATTTGGGTTTCTTTAGCGGGGATTTGATGACATAGTTTACATCAAATTGTAGTGGACTCTTGATATATTGCCGTGGATACGATCTTTTAGGAAGTTCTTGGAAATGGCAATATAAGTAGATTGAGAATGCAGAGAGAAGTTTAACGTGTGGCGGTACAACGTACAGCGTGGCAATATAATTCGAGGAGAAATAATGTGCTGAAATACAATGAACGGCAATATAACGCGTGGCAATATAGCGTGTAGTATGTACAACATATGGTGATATAACGCGTAGGAATATGATGCAAAGCGATGCAGTGTGCGGAAATACAACGTACGGCGATATAACGCATGGCAATATAACGCGTGGCAATATAGCGTGTGGTATACACAACGCATGGTTATTCAACGCATAGAAATATAATTCAAAGAAATATAAAGAGTAGAAATATAACAGACGGCGATATAACAGATGGCCATATAACACGCGGCGATATAACGCGTGGCAATATAGCGCGTGGTATACACAACGCATGGTTATGCAACGCATAGAAATATAATTCAAAGAAATATAATGTGTGGAAATATAACAAACGGCGATATAACACGCGGCTATATAACGTGTGGCAATATAGCGTGTGGTATATTCAACGTATAGTGATGCAACGCATAGGAATATAACGCAAAGCGATATAATGTGCAGAAATAGAATGTACAGCGATATAACACGCGGCGATATAACGCGTGGCAATATAGTGTGTGGTATATTTAACGTATAGCGATGCAACGCATAGGAATATAACGCAAAGCGATATAATGTGCAGAAATAGAACAGACGGCGATATAACACGCGGCGATATAAGGCGTGGCAATATAGCGTGTGATATATTCAACGTATGATGATGCAACGCATAGGAATATAACGCAACGCGATATAATGTGCAGAAATAGAACGTACGGCGATATAACGCGCAGTGATATGTCACATGGCGATATAACGCGTGGCAATATAGTACGCAATATTTGCAACGTATGGTGATACAACGCGTAGAAGTACAGCACAAAGCAATATAACGTACAGAAATACAACATATGGCAATATAACGCGTGGCAATATAACGCGAAAGAACGAAACCATAAATGGCACATTATAAAAAACGACACATAACATAGAAATTATTTAACCAAAGAAATCATAAATTTAACAAAAAAAAGTTTGAAGATAAATCGATCCAATTCTTTTCAATTGTAGAAAGAACGATTTTATAAATGAAAAATCGTTTCTTACGAACATAAATCTCTCGATATTTGTCAAGTTTTAATCCCGCCAATATTTCAAGGAAGATATCCATCAGAAGCTTATGCAGGATCTGCAAAGGACTTACCAGAGCAGCCGGTTTTAAATGATCAAACTCACGAAAGAATTACTATTCGTCATATACGGAAACATTTCAGCCGGAAGTAATTGGCCGAGGATCGATAACTATGCTACTCTGGGTCATCTTGGGTTTTTTCACCGAATTACACCTCGAAAATGTCCTCGTTTAATGTTGATCCAGATTAGAGAGCTATGCTAGAGAACCGTCGTGCGATTTTCTGCTCCAGTAACACATGTGATTCCTCTTCTTTGTAATAGGAACGTCAGAAAGATGCTAATTACCCGGAATTTTCTCGTTATGTCGCTTATTACATTCTGGCTTTCATTCTTTTCATTCCCGCGTTTTTTGAAATGCCTTTTTAGTCTTCTGCTCATAAGGTGTTGGTAATTAGACACTGGACCTCGACTTTATACTTTGGAGTTCACGATTTTATAGTATTAGTATTTTCGATTTTCTAGTTTTCTTACTTTTCTTTTTTTCAGTTTTCTAACTTTTCATTTTTCAATTTTTCAATTTGCCAACTTTTCAATTTTTCAGTTTTTCAATTTTCCAATTTTTCAGTTTTTCAATTTTCCAATTTTTCAGTTTTTCAATTTTCCAATTTTTCAACTTTTTAATTCTTCAGTTTTTCAATTTTCCAACTTTTCAATTTTCCAATTTTTCAACTTTTTAATTCTTCAGTTTTTCAATTTTTCAATTTTCTAACTTTTCAATTTTTCAATTTTCCCACTTTTCAATTTTTCAATTTTCCCATTTTCCAATTTTTCAATTCTTCAGTTTTTCAATTTTCCAACTTTTCAATTCTTCAGTTTTTCAATTTTCTAACTTTTCCATTTTTCTATTTTCCAACTTTTCAATTTTCCCATTTTCTAACTTTTCAATTCTTCAGTTTTTAAATTTTCCCATTTTCCAACTTTTCAATTCTTAATTTTTTCAATTTCCCAATTTTCAAATTTTCCAACTTCCCAATGTCCCAATTTCCCAACGTTGAAATACCAACACGCAAACATCAATTTCCAGCAAAGGATCGTTGAAATCGATTAATGGCGATGCAACGTTATGAAATTTATGAAATTATCGGTTCAATGGAAACAGGCCTTGCTTGGCCGCGACGCAAATTATTGGTTTCTTTCAAGCAACTTCGTTATTGGTGTCAACAGTAATTAACACCTCGATTTGGCGTTAATTGCTCGATATTGGTCTCCCACAACTCGACATAATTCTTCCTACTTATCAAACTAAGTCTTATCGATTTATCAAAATATATTTTAACTTTATAGTCCCAACCTTTCAAGGATCCACCCTCTCAAAGTTCCAACCTCTCGAAGTCCCAACCATGCAATGTTTCAACCTTCCAAAGTACTCATCTTCTAAAGTTTGTATCATCCGAAGGTTCAATCTTTCAAAGTTCCAACCTTCCACTGTTCCAACTTTCCAAAGTCCCAACCTTCCCTATGTTCCAACCTTCAAAAGTCCCAACCCTGCAAAATTCTAACCTTCCAAAGTCCCCACTTTCCAAAGTTTGAATCACCCAAAGTTTCAACTTTCCAATGTCCCAACGTTCCTGAATTCCAATTTTTGAAAGTCCTAACCTTTGCACATTTCGATCATTCTAAATTCGATCATTCAACCTTCTTAACTTTCGATCTTCCAAATTCCAAAGCTACGAATATTCAAAATTTCTGAAACTAAAGCTTCAAATTTCGAAACGTACATCTTCTCAAAACTTCGAATCACCTTATTCCAAAGCTTCCGAACCTCCAAATGATAGTCGGCAAACGTCTCGAGAGTGAGTGAGAAAATGGAAGTATTCACAATGGAGCTTTTTTTACTTTAGGTCACGCGCCACCTCGGTTGACATTGGTATTGACAAGGCAGCTCCCAGTATAACGCGATTTCCATATTATTCACTGGGCGTGAACAGAATTTCGCTAACAAAATTTTGGAAATTCAGGAACGTGCATAATTAGAATATCTAAAGGACGTACAACGCTCACAGGGCGCCGTACAAAATTATGCAAGACGTCACATGACGCCCGTAGGTTCCAAAGTGTTAATGTCATTCAACTTTCATAGCGAGCTAACGCGATTGGTGGTCGCGTGCAGACTGCAAACATATGCGCGCCGGGTCGAAATTGTCGTCGAAATTGACAATGACTCATCCCTGATGGTCTGGTTAATATTCAAACGCCAATGGAAATCATAATAGCCCGCATATTTTTGGACGATCGAACGATCCGCAGAGAATGCGAATCGTTCGCGGCGAAATTGCTCTTTACACCTACAACGATGATTTCGTTCGTTGCACGGCTGCCACGACCATTCCGATTCTCATTATCGCCGGAGAAAAAGATTTACGAGCCACTGGCTTTATTGCTTGCCCTTTTATTTCCATTAGGAGACCGTCACAAGGAATTCCGACTTCGTCGGCAAATCGATTTCTCATCGATGGACCAAATTTTTAAGGAATTAAACCTTCAAGTATTACAGATCGTTACATGACAATTTTATTCTTATAAATGTATGGGGTTCTAAATTAAAAAATTTTTAAGTTGGAAAATTGAAGAATTGAAAAGTTGGAAAATTGAAGACTTGAAAAATTGGAAAATTGAAGAGTTGAAAAATTAAAGAATTGAAAAATGGAAGAATTGAAGAATTGAAGAATTGAAGAATTAAAGAATTAAAGAATTAAAGAATTGAAAAATTGAAAAATTGAGAAATTGAAAAATTGAAAAATGGAAAAATGGAAGAATTGAAGAATTGAAAAATTGAAGAATTGAAGAATTGAAGAATTGAAAAATTGAAAAATCAGTAAACTAAACACTGTCCTTAACATAATAAATAGCATGACAGTTAAATAAATTTATGACAAAATTCCGCTTCAAACTACAGCATTGAAAGATATTTCATTAAAACGAAACAGAAAAGTGTAATGATCTTCGTAAAAAAACAATTCCCTGAAGAATAAACGAATCGAACAAACGTTCATCACGAAATGAAACGAAATGAAATAAAAATATAACATCATCGCAAACAGTGTCTGCAAAAAGATCGACTGAAAACTCGATCGATTGATTACATTTTCAATTTATTACACCTCCCGTTTTCACCGGTGTAGGAAATGAAAGAAAATAAAACGTGCTCTCATCGTGCAAAAAAGGAAATAAAAAAAATGACAATGTATTCCCATTTTCATTGGACCTTTCCCGAAAGCCACGCAATGATTTTCATTGGTCAATTCACAGTAGAGAAACGCTCGTTTTAACCTACTTTATCAAGTCCCGTTTCCATTTGTTCGAAGCAAACCAATTATCGAAAACTTAGCTGGAGGAAATCTCGATGTTTTTTCCTCGACAACAGGCTACCAATGCCTTTATTATTCGTGGTTTCTTTAAAAGCCACCGGAGAGATTATTGGCACGAGGCAGCGGTATTTAAATAGCAAAGATACCCCTACTCTTGACGGGCCAATAATTACACCTGCAATCTAAAAGTTTCCGGGAGAAAATTACTGCGAGGCTTTTGACACATCGATTATTGTCATGCGTATAATTCGTTCTTTGGTAGAGAGTTGCGGTAGTATAGCTATTTTGTGTTGAAACTATTGACAAAACGTTTACGTAGTAATTTTAGAGAAGCTTCAAGCTGTAATTTGATATATCACAAGTGCCATTTTGTGATACTTTTATGTCATCAAATTATATCAAACATCATACGTTCCTAAAGCAATCATTATTTGCCCTAAAGTATTAGTCAGCCATTTTGTATTGAAACTATTGACAAAACGTTTACGTAGTAATTTTAGTGAAGCCTCAAGCTTTATTTTGATATATCATAAGCCCCATTTTGTGATACTTTTATGTCATCAAACTATATCAAACTTTACACGTTCCTAAAGCAATCATTATTTGCCCTAAAGTATTGGTCAGCCATTTTGTACTGAAACTATTGACAAAACGTTTACGTAGTAATTTTCGTGAAGCTTCAAGCTTTAATTTGATATATCACAAGTGCTATTCTGTGATACTTTTATGTCATCAAAATACATCAAACTTTATGCGTTCCCAAATCAATCATTGTTTGACCTAAAATATTCACCAGCCATTTTGTTCTGAAACTATTGATTAAATGTGCATGTTATAATAGTATTTAAGCCACAAGCTATGAATTGACATATCACAGGTGCTATTTTTTTATGTTTCTATATTATCAAACTATATCAAACTCACGTTCTCAAATCAATCATTATTTGACCTAAAATATTCACCAGTTTTCTACAAAAACTGTACGTAGTAATTTTAACGAAGCCGCAAGCTTTAAACTGATATATAAGTGTCGTTTCATAAAACTTTTATGTCGCGAAATCTTGTCAGAGTTTCAATGTTCCAACATCGTCCATTTAATATTCAACAACCTATTGTAACATTCATATAAAAACGCAGGAAGTAAAATTGCAAAAAAACGAGTCGCGCAAATAATTTTCTTTCTTTCGGGCATTCTTTTCTTTTCCTGGTTTTAACGAGAACTATTGACCCATATCTGTGCTCCCTTGTAATCGTCTTGGTTCATAGCTCGTCGCAGACTCGAGCGATAATTAGAAAAGTTCGTCGCGTTAATTACGATGTTTATACACGGAGCGTCGGAAACCTGGGGAAAAATTTCATTTGTCGGTAATATTACCGAGATTGCGCGTGTAAATTCTTCGCGATGTCATGCAAACCGTTGTACGTAAAATGGTTCTGGAAACTGGAACAGATTTCGATTCATTTTCTCAATGGAAGATTGATTGAGAACTCTTTTTTTTGTGTGTCTGTTTTATCGCAAACGACGAGTTAAATTGCTACGCTTTCGGTGTATTAATGAACGCTCGGGAAAAAATTTCCGTGTTCCAGATTTCGAATTCTAAGTTGCCGCATTTTAACTTTAGATTTCAAAGTTTAAATGAAAAATTTTCGACTTCAGGATTCTACTTCTCAATATTTCATTTCGAGACTTAAAGTAGATTGGAAGCTTTCAATTCTTATTTCCAGGAAAAAATTTGTCGTTTTAAATATTAAATTTTAATGATGTTTGTTTTAAAGATTTAATAAATCTTTATTGATATTTCTTTATTGGTTAATAATTTTAGTTTTTTAAGTTTGAAAATTGTTACATTTGCGAGTGGACGAGTATGTTTTTTGTTTCAGCTGAACACGGAATGGGCACAAGTTGAAGTAATAAACCTTATTAACGATGGCAGCGGTCTTGGATTCGGAATCGTCGGTGGACGAAGCACAGGTGTCGTCGTCAAAACGATCCTTCCTGGTGGAGTCGCCGATCGGGTAAGTGAATGAACCTCTTATTATATTGCAATTTTACATTATCGATATTTTCTTACTACTGTGAATTGAAACACATACAAATGCACGAAGATAAGTGTTATTTATAAAATCTATCCCTATATTGCAATTTGAGACATTTTCGTTTGTGGCAATATAACAAGAGTCTACTATAACATCTTCAGTATAGAAATATTTACTAATTCTTTGCACTCAATTGTTTTTTTTAAAAAAGTTTACAAATTCTAAAACAAAATTATTGACTATACAGGGTTGATTTCTGTGTTTATTAAACTCTTGTTATATTGCCACTTTTGTAAGACTTGAAGATTTATGAAGAAGGTTGTAATGTTAATATTGTAAATCTTTTTCATCTATTTTAACAACTTTTTCAACTTTTATGGGTTTATGGCAATATAACAAGAGTCTACTGTGATATGTCTGTGACACTAAAATACTGTTGAAAATGATATTCTGAAAGAATTACTGAAGCAAAATCTATCATCGTCAAAGATTAATTATTATATATAGCAAACTCTTGTTATATTGCCAATTTCGTGAGACACTAAAATCCTTAGAGAACGTTGCAGTATTAAATAATATAAGTCCTCTTAACCAATTCAGTATATTGCAAGTTCCAACAACTTTTTCAACTTTTATGGGTTTATGGCAATATAACAAGAGTCTACTGTAATATGTCTGCGACACTAAAATACTACTGAAAATGATATTCTAAAAGAATTACTGAAGCAAAGTCTATGATTGTAAAAGACTAATTGCAATATATAGCAAACTCTAGTTATATTGCCAATTTCGTAAGACACTAAAATTCTTAGAGAACGTTGCAGTATTAAATAATATAAATATTCCTGACCAATTCAACATATTACCAGTTCCAAAAACTCTCTATTATCGTACCCTTGTTTCTGGCAATATAACAAGAGTTTACTGTAACAAGTCTTTAACTCTAAAATACTATAAAGAACGACATTTCGGAACACATTACTGTAGCAAAATCTCATAACAAACGATTCATCGCTACAAACAGAAAACTTTCGTTATGTCGCCATTTTCGCAATATTCAAAAATCCGCAGAGAACACTTCACAGTTAAATAATATTGCAAATTACACCAATAATCGCACCAATATCCCAAAATTGAACTTTCCCACTTTACTATTATACACGGCAATATAACAAGAGTTCATCTACGTCCATCTTTTCCGATACAAAATATGTATACCAGATAAGTGGATCTTTTCCCTCAAAAAATCGAATAATTTTTCCGATACCAGCGGCATGCAAACACGAATCCGGGCACCGCGATCAATTCATGAATTAATCGACGTTCGTTCGCGGTGCGATTTGCAGGATAATCGGCTGCAGAGCGGGGACCATATATTGCAAATCGGGGATGTCAATTTACGGGGAATGGGAAGCGAACAGGTCGCGGCGGTTTTGCGACAATCCGGCACACACGTGCGCCTCGTTGTCGCGCGACCTGTGGAGCCAACATCGCCGGACTATCAGGTATTAAAGCATTATTAAAAAAAAAGTCAGAAAAAGACGAGGTACATGAAAGAACCTTCTCAGGAGATTTTAAGAGAATTGCTACCTAAATGAAATATCTCCTTTGCGTTGGATTAACTCTCTCGTGTATGAATTTTTTAGTTGAGTCTTCACGAAAGAGCGACATCTTTTAAGAAAATTTCATTCTGTCTTTTGTGCTACGAAATATTACATCTTTTTTGAGATATGGAGTCCTTTTACAAATGGCACAAATACTGCTTTCAAGTTTACTTGGTTAAATTATTTTTGAATACACACATTTTTCTAGTTGCATGGTATTTTATTTTCGATGCGTTTTTATACAATTTTGTGAAGTAATGGGTTTAACCAAAAAGTGTACCATTTTTTGGAGTGATGGATTTAACCAAAAATTGGTAAAAATATTTTGACGACCGAGATCAAAGTTTTCTATTTTTAATTTTGTCGTGAGATCAGAAATTTAATTAGAACCGCATTCATCGGTTTAATTGACGGTAATTTACAAGGTTTCCCGAGGCACTTCAGCGAATATTTATTTCGAAATAATTTGCTGCGGTCGGTAAAAGTTGTCGAAACAATTTAGAAACAAACAGTGCAATTTAATCGAGATAAAAAGGAACGCAAGCCTCGCTCCTGGTTTCCTACTTTTCCAAGTCTAATGAAATAGCTTCATCGAACTCTTAATTAAATGGTAGCAGGGCGTTTTCATTAAATTATCGGGCTTTGGATTGTTTGCGCGATAACTGCTGTTTTAATTGATCGATACAGAACTTTCGGACTCGATACCATCTCAACATTCGCAAATTACAAATTTTTACTAGTATAGTTATTAAATTAATACATTAATTATATAATTCCTTAATCAATACATTATGTTCATATAATTAATAATAGATTCATTTTAAATTTTACAAAAAAAGAATTTGAGGGAGGAAACTCAATTTTTTGCAAAAACCATTTACATGGATTTACAGGTCTGAAGAAACAGCACAACTTTTGTTTCAACCATTTTTTAATATTTTCTATTGTTGACGATTTATGAGCAGTTACGTAAAAGGGTTGATTTTCCCCTTAAATGCACGACTATATTTATAGAAGTTCAATAATTGTGCAAAGTAGCATAAAAATTAATTAAAAGATTAACTTCTGGTAAGATCACACTTGAACCACGGCAAAGGGTTAATTAAGCAGTTCCGTAGCTTCCGAATTCAGATGCTAATCGAAATTTAATGGAATGTTGCATTTCAGGCACTCGGTAGCCACGCTCCGATCGTGCCGACGAAGATTCTGGGTGACCCCGACGAGTTGGATCGTCACTTGGTGCACAGCGTTCCGGAGACGTACAACATGCGTCACGTGCAGGGTGATGCCACCTACGACAACGGCTACATGTACTCGCAGGAATCCGACGTCGAAATGCACGTGAGTGATGATAAAATTTTGCACAAAAAGTTTAAATGCAAAGTTAATAAGGTATTTGATCGTTTCACGTTATTTTTTGCGCCATTTGTATGGTAGGTTATCATTTATGTTGTAATTTTGTAGGCAAGACCAGGTCTCATCATGGACGTAGTACGCAATCCTATGCCAATTGGAGCGATGCCAGTGATACCGACGGTTCCGGTGCAGATTCCGGAACTTCCAGTGCTCACCATGGACACCATCGATGTTAATTCACTGCCAGAAATGGAACGTTTCACCGTCGAGCTTAAAAAGGACATTTACGGCCTTGGGATCACTATTGCGGGATACGTTTGCGAGAAAGGTAAACGTGCTGGGTGGTCTTTGCACTTTATGTCAGCAAAAAATGGTCGTCAAACTTCTTTTACACCTAAACCTCTGCACTTATGATTTTAGAAAAATAAAAAATAAGAGAATTCAACAAATAGGAGAATTGATATGATAATTTTAGTTGTGCAAGGTTAAAGTAAGCTTTAAGATATATTAATATTGTTATTTTACCTTCATGTAATATCTGGATGTATTAATATTGTTGTAACACCTTGTACATACATGAATATTGTTATAACACTTTAATGTAATTGCTACTGCAACATCCATCTTATATTATCTAGATACATTATCTCTTTTTGTTTTCCCCCTGTGGGATCTCATCTACTTATCTACTTCATCATTTTCTTCTTCTTGTTCTTGCCTGTTCTTTCCTGTCTTTAATATATTCTCTCACTTTAATGAGTCTTTATTAATATTCATACAGTGTACCTTTCTACCTAACTTGAGTAGCAGCATACATTAGAATATCTTATTACTGTATAACATAATGCAAATAACTAAAAGTATGGCGTAACACAAGCTAAAGATATAGCATAGCGTAACATAAATGACTAAAACCATAACTACACAATTAACTGTATAACATAACTACATAACATAAATAATTAAAAACATGCCACATTATAACATAAATAACTGAATACATAATATAACTTAACATAAACTTTCTATACTATATTACAATTGAACACTAAACTCTTAACTCTAACTTAACACAACCTAATCTAATCTGAGTTAACTTACATTAACTCTAAACACTGACACACATCCTCCATACATTCTTCTTCCTTTATCTCCCAAATATCAAAACAATTTTACTCTAACTTAACATAACCTAACTTAATCTGACTTAACCTTAACCCTAAACCTACCTTAACCTTAAAGACTGACATCCTCCATCCATTCTTCTTTATCCTCCAAGTACCAAAACAATTTCACAAACTAAACTCAAACAGGAACTCATAGTAACAGTTAGCAAGGATGTTTACAATAGTGCATATCATTAATAGTACATATTAATTAATTTTCTTAACTACATATTATGTAATTACAGAGGAGCTATCTGGAATATTTGTGAAGAGTATCAGCGAGGGTAGCGCAGCAGACTTGAGCAACAAGATCCAAATAAACGACAGAATAGTCGAAGTGGATGGCCATTCATTACAGGGTTACTCGAATCACGAAGCTGTAGAGGTGTTAAGACGAACCGGGCAAACTGTAGTTCTGTGCCTGGAGAGATATCTACGTGGACCAAAATACGAGCAGCTTCAACAGGCAATCGCGGCCAGTGAACTGAGACTACCTCAACCAAGTTCCCCATCGATTACGAGTCTACCAAGTTTCCCCATTAGCGCTGTAAGAAATGCTGTTATTCTTGCCAGATGTAGTTATAGCTTAAAGAAGTAGCCTGTGATTGCTGTAGCAGTTCATGAGACTTTCATTAAGATCACATGATCTTCTTTAAGTACTGGGTGGTTGTTTTTGTTAGTGGTGACTGTTTGGGGATTTGGAGATTGGGAATTTAGGATTTGATGTGGCAATTTGAGGATTTAGGGATTTAGGGATTTAAGTAATTGAGATTTTGGATATTTGTGAATTTGAGGATTTGAGGATTTAGGGATTTAAGTAATTGAGGTCTTGGATATTTGTGAATTTGAGGATTTGAGGATTTAGAGATTTAAGTAATTGAAGTCTTGGATATTTGTGAATTTTGGAATTTGAGGATTTAGGGATTAGGTTTGGCAGTTTGAAAATTCAGGGATTAAGGGATTTAGAAAATTGTAAGTTTCAGAATTTGGAGATTTGAGGTTTGCAAATTGAAGAATTAACCCAACATTGCACCCAAGTATTACTCAGCACTTCAACCATACGTTCTGGTCGATAAAGTCCTTATCTTTAATGCTAATTAACTTTGTAGTTCAACATATGTACCTCTAGTTATTTATACAGTGTTCAATTATTCTGTTCCAGGACGGAGAGACGACTACTGAAATAGAACCGGAAGGAGAATCGCATACGACTGTGGACAGCGCTGTTTTGCAGGAAGGAGGTGAGCGTGAAAGAGTCTCAGAGGAGCTGGATGATGCAGCCAACGTGGAAGCTTTATTGAGCGATCCTTCCAGCGAGCTTACACCTCAAATTCGTGCTGCTATTAAAGCCAAATGGCAGAAAATCGTGGGTCCAGATACAGAAATTGTGGTACGTATTCAAACATTAGGTGTTGAAGTCAATTAGTAGATTAATAAATTTTGAAATAAGTTCTAAAATTATTTGAAGTACCCAGCTTCAGAATAATACAAAAATTGCATTGACTACAAATAGAAATATTGAATCAAATAGAAATATTTGAAGTACTCTAAAGCTTCAGAATAATACAAAAATTGTATTGACTTCAAATATAAATATTAAAAAAAAAAAATGTTTGTCTTAAATAGGTAGCTCAATTGAAGAAATTCACGGAGGGTAGCGGACTAGGAATAAGCTTGGAGGGAACAGTGGATGTAGAGAATGGACAGGAAGTGAGACCTCATCATTACATAAGATCGATCCTCCCTGAAGGGCCTGTGGGTCAGAATGGAACTCTACGTTCCGGAGACGAATTGCTCGAGGTAATGTATCACTTTGCTTATCTAGCACAAGAACTACTTCAAACATTAATTTTCCTGGTTAATTAACGCCCTCGGCACGACGTTTATCCCTATGCCAACACAAACTTTGGTATTGGCTTACTTCATCCATCAGTGACTCCATTTCCTTTGTACTTGCATTCCACACACTTCCTTTACAAAAATATTTACACCTAATTAACCTTTAATTTCTGTCAAGTATTTGTGAATATTTTTTAAACCTTCCTTAACTAATATATTAAATTTAAAGTATTGTAACCCAAAAGTAAAAAATGTGTGATATACAATTTTAGTCACACTAATCATTAGAAGAAAATGTCTTCAGTCTTAATTACCTCCATCATTATATCCATTATTTCATGTAAATTCCCCAATGCTAATTAGCAGAAGCAATTTAACTTAGCCCATTAGCAGAGCTTTACTTCACCGTATAGATAAATGAATAACTTCTAGGAAACGGTGTAGAATGCTATGTGTATTTTACATGGTATTAATTTTCTGCCAGCTTCAGTTTCTGTGCTAGCGAATGCTATTTAATCTGAGGAGCTTAATGAGCACGGTATTACATGTCCTCCATAATCATCCAAGCAGACTATAACGGCGTTTAATATAGTTTAACTTTGTTAATTAGGCAAGACTACTGCTATTCAGTTAACTTGCAAGTTGATTACGTTCCTTTATGTGATTTTGAAACTGAAGATTAACATTTTTTTTGCAGGTGAACGGATACCGGTTGCTAGGCATCAACCATATGGAAGTAGTTAGCGTTCTTAAAGAATTACCCATACATGTTCGAATGGTTTGTGGAAGGAACATTGCCTCGCAGGATCCTTTGTGCCCCATCGACACTGCTCAACATCAGGCTGCGTTCCAAACTAGAGTAAGTATTTAAATTCTATAAGGAACAGTCTACTTAATCTTCTTTTGGTTTAACCTTATTAGGCTAATCTTATTGCGTATCTTCATTGCAAAAGTTTAATCTAGTTTAACCCAGAAGTTTGAATGAACTTAATCATGCAAAGTCTGTTTGCTTTACAGAGCATTCTTGGCGGATCCCTGCAGAATCTGCTGCCAACGATGGACCGTTTGGTTAAGGCCAAGTCCGATGGTTCCTTAGCGTCGACAACGACTACAGCTACGGTCACGGATGCCAGTTTGAACAAGATGAAGTCGCGTTCTCTGGAACCCTTGACCGGCCTCGCGATGTGGAGTTCCGAACCGCAGATCATTGAACTGGTAAAGGGAGAACGGGGCCTTGGGTTCTCGATTTTGGATTATCAGGTATATCTGATCAGCTTAATTACAAATCTGCCCACCTTTATATCTTGAAACCTATGAAAGTTACTTCTCATTATACCTAAGTTAATAGTAAATTCTACAACCAATAAGTGTCCTGACCATATAAGTGTCTTGATCATATGAGAATAAGTGTATAAGCGTATGAGTATAACTGTCCTTTCCGTATGAGAATCAATTTAAGGATCTTAGGAGAATGTGTTAGCTAGAACTTTGCCTTCAGCAATGAACCGATTAATCTGACTAGTGTAACGATGTTTGTTGCAGGATCCAATGAACCCCAACGAAACTGTGATAGTAATAAGATCGCTGGTGCCTGGAGGCGTAGCTCAAGTGGACGGGCAACTGATACCTGGCGATCGGCTTCTGTTCGTGAACGACATAGCCCTGGAGAACGCGACGCTGGATCAGGCTGTGCAAGCGTTGAAGGGTGCGCCTAAGGGTACCGTTCGCATCGGTGTGGCCAAGCCGTTGCCCATCCCAGACAGTATTGTCCAGGTGAGCGATCAGGAGGATCAGATCGAACCGAGCGTCGATAGGGATAGCGAGACGGCCGCGTGTTCGATTATGGATAGCCATAAACAGAGGCGAGAATATTTCAGGGAGCGTAAAGTGAACGTGATCGAGCCTCCCCATCACATGGACTTGATCGAGGGGTTAAAGCATCAGTATAATCTTGTCAAATCCGAGAGTTTCTGAGTGTTCAAGTATTACAGGGATTATTCAGCCTCTGTTTGAATGGATTCGCTTGTTCGCGATTCGCGTGTCTTCGAGACGATCTGTAATCGCGGCTAGACGTTCGCACGATCGATCGATTGGATTTTTGTCTTAGCTTCTCGGTTTCCTTTCGTCTTTTTATTTTGCGTTTGTCTTGAGAGGTTCCTGGAGGGTCAATGAACTTTAGGACGAGGGCGTTCGTTGATTCTTAACACGTTCTGTGCCGTGCATTTATGTCAATTTGTGCATATCAATGTGTTTTAAAAGTCTTTTCTGATGTGTTGGAAGATAACTGATTGCACAGTAACCTGTACTCATTAAATGTTTCTGTTACCTCTTTGTTTATGCATTAACAGCAGAAATGTCTCAATAAGAAAGTACTGGTCCTTATCAAAAATGATGATGGAAGTTGTAGATGGCGTTAGTGTTGTAATATAAACTTAACCTCTTTTCATTGTACTTATTTACAAATACAGTAATGAAGTCTGTATAGATTTTATTGAGGCACCTTGCACTTTCAGTGTGCAAATAAGAGTCTTGTACTTAAAATTAACCTAAAAACATCATTTATATATTTGCCTAAGTTTCTCCTTGGAATAGTATAATTTTTACAAGGATACAAAGGATTCTTGACCTAAAAATATTTAAGATGGAGTCTAGGGCTTTTCAGTATTTGAATGATTAGTATTAATCCTCAACACAGTATTTCAAGCAGAACAGTCATCTTTTAGGATTTAAGCACAAGGCGTTGAACGTGTTAACATCAATTTCAAAGAGTACTTAACTTAGAAGATATATACTAAGATACTTGAACAAGTACTTAACAATTTATTAGTGATAGAAAACGCTCAAATATAGATTTAGAAAATAGTTTCCATTGAAGGAACCAATTTGGCAGTTTATCTTTTGATATATTATTGAGATAAGTCAATTAAAGTCTACTGTTAGACTTCAGTTTACAGGCTACCGTTTAGCTTGCGGCGTTTACAAAGGTTGATAAATTACGGCACAAGATCTTAATCGATGCTACAACTTTGTACAATAGTAAAAGACTTTACCATATTTTTCTGTATTAATTTAAGCCGCTAATATTGTATGAGTGTTTTTGTAATTTCGTATTTGCGCCTTTGGAGCTTTGAATTACAAAACATTGTACAATATTTTCAACTCAAATTAATTGCTTTATGTTACAGTATTTAACTTTTGTATGAAACAAGTAGCATTCCGATTAAGACCGTAAAAACTGATTTATTATTCTCTTTTTAAAGGACGATACAAGACTGCTTGTTGCTGACCAGCACACAAATAATTACGTGATTTTATTGTCTTCGATAGGTATATATTTACAAACGTTGTAGACGGTTGATCTTTATACAACATTTACTGCGGCAATATTCTTTATGAAAGAAGGCTATTCTTCTGCGTGTGAAAATAATTGATAAGCTGATCGAAACTTTTACAGCGTGTATGAATTATAGATAATAAATAGGGTGCCGTACAGGTTGTTTTTTCTTTTTGTTTGTCCACCCCGTCTTCCTCTCCCATTTTCTTTTCTTTTTATGTATTTTATTCTCACCCGTATGTTTTCAGTTTTTGTTTGTGTTGCTTTTGTGCGTTGTAAACTTTCTTAATTTTGTGAAAGGAAAAGAATAGAACATTTGTTAATAAATTTTTAATACTGCGTTAAAGTAACATTGCAGATTTATTATTTATATATTAATATAATATACTTTTGTATATTGTGTGAAAAATTTTGTCATGAATCTTTTGTCGACGTTGCGTTAACGCAGTTATGAGAATAAGTGGATTAATCGCATAAAAGATGCATGATTGCTCGCGTGGACCATTTACTCAATCAACGAGCATTAACCTTTGACTTGAAGCAAGAATTTGAGGGGAACAAAAGTGCCTCGTGTCGCAAGTTCATTTGAAGGTCCGAGTTATCGATCGTTGAAGGGAAGACCTTTGTTCTGTGCCACGGCTCGGATAACCGAGTTACGAACCTAACACTTTGACGACCTTTGACTTTACCTAATTTTTCCTTCCATTTTCACACGTGAATTGCAAGTTTATTCATAACTCAATTCTTCAAGACTAAAATTTCTAAATTATTTTTGTTTAGAAAATTTTTTTTCTTGGCTACAATATTTGTTAATTCATTAATTTATTAAATGAAGAAAAAGTGTTGTATTAAATTTATGAAAAATGTTTTTTAAAAAATTTATAAATGAAAATTTTGCATATTTTAATAGGAGGAAAATTTTGATAATTAAATGTAATAATTAATTCAGTAATTTAATTTAATTACAGTTCACTCAATTTAATTGCAACGAAAAAATTAATTTTAATATTTTAAAAATTAAAATAAAAATTGTGTGGTTGTCAAAGTGTTAATTTTTTCATTGATAAAAACAGAGATAGAGAAGGGTGGGACAAAGTGAATTTTTGTGCAGCTAAAAAAGCAAAATAGTAAGACAGATGTAAGAGTGAAGTAGGACTGCAAAATATCGAACAAATAATTTGTTTCAAATATTCGCATAATTTCGAGTTAATTCGAATATCAAAAACGTTCGAATTTCAAATTGTATTGTATATTTTTAAAATTGAAATATAAATATAATTTTTGAAATGCAAAATTTAAATTATATCTTGTTAAAACATTGATAATAATCAATAAAATATCACAAAATAATTGATGATTAATTTTGAGTGGCAATTGTATGAGCAATTTTAAAAAATATTATACAACTTTGTAAATTTTATAAAATACATAGATTTATAGAATTTTTAAAATTGATAAAATTTATAGGGTTCATAGAATTTACAATCTTTACAAAATTTATGAAATTTTATAAATATTTGAAATTTGTGAAAATTTACAAAATTTAAAATTTTTGAAATTTCATAAAATTTTTAATTTTTCATAAAATTTACAAAACTGATAAAATTTATAGGGCTTATAGAATGTACAAACTTTTAAAAATTCATGAAATTTTATAAAATTAAAAATTTGTGAAATTTTATTAAATTAAAAATTTACAAAATACATAAAATTTCAAATTGTATGAAATTTAAGAATTTACAGAATTTATAGGAGCTACAAAATTGACAAATGTTTGTCCACCTAAAGTACAATAGCAACCCTAATTAATACATCTTTACCTAACATTTGCAGCCAAATAATTAATGTAATTCGAACCTTCCTAACAATACAATTAGAAATGAAAACGTTTCCATTACTCGAATAATAAAAAATTGGAATTCGAATTTCCGTAACAGCCCTAGTGTGAAATAGACATGTGAATAATCGCGGATGAGTTAAAAACGAGCAACCATCGGAGCGATAAGTAAGTACCGAATCAAACACGATTGTAATAGTGAATGAAAGTTGCCTGGTAGAGTAGCTGAACAGAATGAACGAACGGTATTACATTTGCATTGGATTAATTCCACCTCCATTGTCCTGTGCAAATTAACCTCGTTCATTCTGCGCATAACACAACACACAGCCACAGTGTACACTTGTAGTCGGGATCGTAATATAGTTATGCCTCTTTAGGTGGCAACTTTTCTATCTCTCTAACGCTTAATTGTAGGATTTATATTTAATATTTAAACGACACTAGTTATTTAATGTCGATGTCTCGACTCGATAACGAGGGCTTAATTGCAAAGTAATGCATTAAGTGCTTGCAAAGATCTTTATAATACTATTTCTGTATTTAACCTTCTTTCTGGGTGATTCATGCAAACATTCAAATACTTTCAAGTACTTTCAGAGATACTTAAGTTGCAATGTTGCTTAGATTCTTGCAAAGATCTTTGTAATAGTTCAGTACTTAACACTTTTGATTTAAATAATTGCAAACATTTGAATATTTGAATCACAAGTATCTTCAGATCCTTGTAAACTTAAGTTGCAAAGTGACAGATTCTTGGGAAGATCTTTGTAATACTTCAGTACTTAACAACACTTAGCGATTAAAACAATTGCAAACATTTGAATATTTGAATCACAAGTACTTTCAGATCCTTGTAAACTTAAGTTACAATGACTTAAATTCTTGCAAAGATTTTTGTAATACAACTTGAGTACTTTGATTCAAGCAACTGACATTTGAATATCTGAATCACAAGAATAGTATTTTCAGATCCTTGTGAGGATTTGCAAAGCGATGTGCAATAAATGCTTGCAGAGATCTTTATAAAGAACTTGAGTACTTAAAAAGATCAGTATTTGAGTTAATGCTTATAATCTTTGTATCGAGGACTTAGGTATTCGCACAGATTTTTATAATGTGACTTAAGTACTTGCACAGATACTTGTCACTTAAGTATTTGCATAGATATGTGACTTAAGTACTTAAAAATGCTTTGATAATTCAATTTTAAAGGCTTGCATAGATCTTTGCAGTACTTTCAAAGATTTATATTACTTATAGAATTTATAGAATTTGTGCAGTTGATAGGATTTTATAATGAAACTCCTGCACAGAATTTTTGTGCAATTGATAGTATTTTTGTAACTTGTGATTTAATTACTTGCAAAGACATGTGTAGTGCAGATTAAGTACTTGCAATAGTGTAATTTAAGTATCAGTAAAAATGTGTAGAGCAAGGATTATTGTAATGTATTTTAAACATTTGCAACGACTGATACTACAATTAAAAAATTCTTATAGCGAGGATTACTATAATCTAGTTAAATTCTTGCAAAGACTTTTATAAAGTAATTTAAGTACCAAAATCTGTCCAATTATAGTGTAATTAATTTATGCTATTGCTTGTTATTAAAAATGTTATAAAATAATGTTATTAAAATACTTGCAGAGAATTTAAGTGCCTATAAAAATCTGTGTATAATTTAAGTATTTGCAAAGATCTTTATAATGCGATCTGAATACTGTACTTTATAAAAACTTCAATAAGGAAGATTTAAATATCTGCTAACTGCTGTTCCTCTTTTTTACATTCTATTTAGTAATACTATATAGCATTCTTTGTCTTAGAGACTCTTAGTTCTTTGTTTCTATTTCTTGTTTTCCTTTTTTGTATATATTATATTGTATTGTCTATTTATTGTTTGATGAGTAGGTTAGAGGTGATGGTGAAGAGAGAGAAAGGGAGATAATGGGAGAAATAAATTTTAAAATATAAGTTTATTTTAATTGAAGATTCTATGGAATGTTTTTTATTAAAAATAAATTTTTTACAATCGTTACAGATGTTATCAACAAATTAATTGTCAATTTAATTTAATTTTCAGTGTTCAGTCCAATGTCAAAATTTTATTTTCAGTTTATTTTTTCAGTTGTTTATTTGATAAATATTTTAATATTCAACAGACAGTGCTATGCATCAAAATTTATTTATGACATTTGACAATAAAAGAAAATACAAAACAAACTATTCCAATAATTTTTATTAATGATTAATTCCAAATATAATTGATATTAATTTTAACTATTACTGAAATTGCTTTTGATTGTGATTGAAGTCTTAATTAAAAATTAAATTAATTCTGATTGTAATTAAAGTCTCAATTATAACAGAAATCACGTTAAATTATAATTAAATTTGCAATTAAAACTGAAATTAATTAAAATCAAAATTAAGTTTATTCAAAATTATAACAACTCTTCCTATTAAAAAAATAATTGCAATGCAAATTTCAATTATATAACACGAACTATAAAGTTGCAATTAAAATTTTAATTAAAATGAAAATGTATCACCTCGGAAAGCACCAAAGAAATTAGAGAGACATTGCCACGTGCACGTCACAAGAAGCCCTTCGATGTCTCTGAGAGTAAAAAAAAGAGCAATCGATGATAATCGAATTAAAAGGCAAAAAGAAAAAGACAGTGTCTCGTAGGTGGCAAGTAGAAACAAGCATTGAATGATTAACTCTTCCACGATATCTCTTTCTGTCTCTCTTCGTCTCTCCTGATGATCCATACTTATATTCGAAGAACCCTATTGTACCATTCTCTGTCTAGAATATCAACCCTTCTTTGTCTCTGTCCGATCGTGTAACGAGATAGATCGATCACAACTGCTATGCGAACCTTTTCACCTTACGTAGAGCTATTTTATTAGAATTCCACTATTGTCTAATAGCGATGGGATTAAACGAACAATCAAGGAAATTCGAACTCGTCAAATATTGGAAAAATTAAAAAAAAATGAACTAAATTATTTATTACTTCACTGTGATATTTTTACATTACATTTTTATTAAGTTTAGTTTACGTTTAATTTACAAATTAATTATTAAGTAAATTAATTATTAACTGATGAATAATTTTGTTTACTATTTATTGAGGTTTATCAACCCTTAAGATGGTAAACCCTTAAGAGGGTAAACTACCCTTGTGAAATATTTTATATTTAATTTAAAAATTGTAAAAATTAGAAATTTTGTATTGAATTAGGTTTCTCTTGTCAATTATTTAAATTTATTTGCAAGGGGTAAATATTTACCCCTACAGGAGTAAAGAACCTGTTCTGTTTAAAGTGTGTAAAGAATTATAAATCAATCGTTAAAATTTGGTAAATGATTTTACTACGATTTATTAGGGGTAAGCAACCCCTACTAGGGTGAGCAAGCCACGTGTACCGTTTAATGTGACGTAGAAATTGTAAATCAATCGTTAACATTTGATAAATAATTTGTTTGCTGCTCTTTTGGGGTGAGCTAACCTTATTAGGGTGCTTACAACCCTTGTTATAGGACGTTTAATGTGACGTAAAAATTGTGGATCAATCGTTAAAACTTGATGAATAATTTATCAAGTAAATACACTTATTTTTGGTAACAACCCTTATTAGTGAATTTATAATTGATAAATTATAATTGATAATTTATTATTGATAATAGGAGACTACTGATCAAATTGATTGATTTATAATTGATCGATTATTGTTTGATTTAATTCACAAGTTTATCATTAATCGATTAACAATTAATTCAATTGATTAATTTAACAATTAATTTAATTGATTAATTTAGTATTGATTAGATTATCGATTGATTTAAGTAATTAATTTTATAATTGATTAGATAACGATTGATTTAATCAATTAATTTATAATCGATTAGACGATCAATGATTGATTTATTGTATTAATTCATAATCGATTAGATAATTGATTTATTTAATCAATCAATTTATAATCGATTAGATGATTAACGATTTATTTAATGAATTTATAATCGATTAGATGATTAACGATTGATTTAATGAATTTATAATCGATTAGATGATTAACACTTGATTTAATTGATTAGTTAATTAACACTTGATTTAATTGATTAATTAATTAACACTTAATTTAATTGATTAGTAGATCAACACTTTATTTAATTGATTAATTAATTAATACATGATTTAATTGATTAGTAGATTAACACTCGAAGTTGATTATTTAATTAACACTTGACCTAACTAATCACCAATTCAATCAATTATTATATAATTTCTAATTAACGATTTTTTTAACGAACCAATTTAAAACTCTATACGCAATTATTGAATTTTAATACTGAATTCTTGTTTGAATTTTCTCCGAAAATTTTTTCTAAAATAATTGTCGAAATCCCATCGCTACAATCAAGTACTCACTGGCACCTTTCTTCACTATTATCAAAACGGCTGTACTCGCGTCTCAGGATCGATACGTTTATCACCACCGTAACTACCAAACACGAAGACACCGTAGTATACGAAATAAACCGTCGTGTTAACTCTTCTCGACTAGAGACGTCCAACGAGCGAACGTAGAAAAAGCCTTTACTCGATTCCTAGCTGGATATCTGCCCATTTTATTACGTAACGTTACAGTCGATTCTCCTGCAGAACTTTTCTTTCTTCTCAAGCGAGTGCGTATAGTCGGTGGAAACGATGTAGTGTACTTTCGATCATCGTATGACTTCTAACAGTGCTTTTTGACGGGAAACATACGAGAAACTTGAATTTTAATCAGGTTGAGAATCTGATCAGGGGGTGGAAATTGACTCGTTCTGGGATTTGATGTTATGAAGTTCAGTTTAACCCTTAACGTTCACACTGGGGTGTGAAACCCTGGCTTAGCTTCAATTTTAACCACTTTGGATCTCAAATATTTTAATAAATACTTGCTTTGAAATATCGGTATTTTGATTATTATATCTGGGGAGTGTTTAATTAAAATTTCAGCTCTCCATATTAAAATTGAGATCTTGAATTTTTCTGTGTGAAAACCGCCATTTTTTCTACTTTTTCACGTGTCTGAATTTGTTCATATTCAAGTTTAAATTTAACGAAGTTAAAACAATTTTTGAAGATTATAATTGGCTGTGGAAGTTGAAACAATTTTTTAAGATTATATATAATTGGTTGTGGAAGTTGAAACAATTTTTGAAGATTATTTATAATTGGTTGTGGAAGTTGAAACAATTTTTGAAGATTATTTGTAATTGATTGTGGAAGTTGAAACAATTTTTGAAGATTTATAATTGGTTGTGGAAGTTGAATAATTTTTAAAGAATTTCGTTATAATTGGTTGTGGAAGTTGAAACAATTTTTGAAGATTTATAATTGGTTGTGGAAGTTGAATAATTTTTAAAGAATTTCTTTATAATTGGTTGTGGAAGTTGAATAATTTTTAAAGAATTTCTTAATAACTGTCTGTGGAAGTTGAAACAATTTTTGAAGATTCATAATTGACTGTGGAAGTTGAAATAATGTTTAAGGAATTTATTTATAATTTTTGTTCGAGTTAAAATAACAAATAGGTTCATCTTGAGGAATAGTTTTAATAGCTGGGGTCTTAAACGTCCCAGTGTGCTAAATATGACATATAACGTGTTTATAATGTATACAAGTATATTACTTATAAAGTGTGATCGTTGAGGGTTAAGTGGTATAAAAAGTGATTCATTCAGAATATCTTGAAAAATGATGGTTTATTGCATATGTTGACTGCCATGGGGTTATTAGTGTTTAGTGTGCTATCGTTTAAACAAACGTGAACTGTGAAATTATGGTATGTTGTGTAGAACTATGTTGTAATATAGCGAGGTCGTAAATTGAGCCTTGAACTAGTTGAGAGAATTAGGAATATGGAGATTTTTAATTTCTAAATTGAAGAATTGAGTGGGTGAGAAATATGAGGAATTGAGATGTACGGAAATGTCAAGGTTTCGAATAAAGCTGTTAGGAAATTAAGTCATTAGGAAATTAGGAAACTAAGAGTTTAAGAAATTAAGAAATTAAGAAATTCAAAAATTAAACAGTTGAAAAATTGAGAAGTTGAAAAATTGAAAAATTGAAAAATTTCAAAATTGAAAAATTGAAAAATTGATAAATTGAAGAATTGAAAAATTGAGAAATTAAGAAATTAAAAAATTGAGACATTAAAAAGTTGAAAAATTAAGAAATTAATAAATTGAAAAATTTGTCAATTTTGCACCTCAAAAATTAAATAATTTTTCTTTCCTAAAGACCTAATAAAAGTTTCAGGTCTTCATTTCTATTCTGCTTTCTACAGCATTTTACAACCTCGCTATATCATAACAGAGACCAGAAAACATATACATAATGCATTAATTGATTTTCTAATAAAAGAGAAAAGTTTGAAGGATTATTTTATGGTGGTTTGAACTTGCATATAAAAATAAAACTTTTCAATAGTAATATTAGCGCTTAAACAACTTCTTTACATTCTTTTTTTTAAATTAGCTGTTAGAGTAGAAGAAATAATGATATGAAATATCCTTAATAGACCATTTACGCTTAAAATTATATAGGTCCACGTAAATGAAATCAAATATATCCTTACAGCTCTGACGGCAATATAACGAGAGTCCACTATATTTTACAAACTATTGACCCTTTCGATATTTTAGCTAGAAATTAATATTTAAACTTACAAGGTTACATTCGAAAATTCTAGTTTCAGAACTTAACTCTTCTTATATTGCATTATATTGAATATTGTAAGAATTTTTTTGTATCACTTCATTAATGACAATATAATGAATGTCTATATCCCATAAATTATTAAATCTTTTACTATTATAATCCTCAGGGAAATAAAGTGATTTGAGTTTAATAAGTTCTTTGATAGAATTAGATTGAAATGAAAATCTTATCTAAGTAAAAACAAAGTAAATTAACATGCAATAGTAAAGAATATACATTTTTGTATACATGGTGTATATATTTTTTAGACAATGTATAGATTTATTAATGTCTGAAATATTCTACTGATTCAGTTTTAACGATTCTGTTCGATCGCTCATATAGTCTGTACCTAGATATAGCGACGTCGTAAAATTGTTCTAAGGAATATAAAATGAAATCCAAGCGGGAAGATAATGTGTGTGAGTTTAAGAATTTGCAAATCTGACAATTTTCAATTTCTATATTTTACAATTTCTGAATGAACAAATTTCCAAATTCGGTAACTCAAAAATTTGGGCATCCATAATACAAAAATTCCATGTAAGAAATTTCAAAATTGCCAGCATTGAAATTTAAAAAATTACAAAGTTTAGAAATGAGTTATTTCTACATATAGTACAGATTTTCCAAATTTCCAAATTTCCAAATTACCGAGTAAGGAAATTTGAAAGTATGGGTAAACTAAGAAATTTGGAGCTTGAAAGTTTAATTTGCAATCTCATAATTTCTTATACCTATAAGTACAAAACCTTCATATTTCTATATCTCCATACTTTCAAGTTCCCAAATTTCTAAATTCCCAAATATAAAAACATGAAATGCATATGAAAATTCAGTTCTACAAAACTGCAATATTTCACCCTCTCTATGACATACAGGGTGTCTCACAACTCGTGTAGCTCCTGAAGAGGGGTGGTAGAGGACGCGATTCTAAGCAAGATTTCCCTTTGCAAAAATGGGGTTTGAAGCTTCGTTTTTGAGTTATTAAAGAAAAACACGGACCAATCAGAGCGCGAGGATTCGGCGCCAATCGCGGCGCGCAGTCGCGAGAGCGACGCCTTCAAGCATAATGGCCGACTGGGCGTACTCCTCGCGCTCTGATTGGTCCGCGTTTTTGCTTAATAATTCAGAAACAAAGCTTCACACCCCATTTTCGCAAAGGAAAATCTTATTCAGAATTACGTCCTCTACCACCCCTTTCCTGAAGTTACACGAGTTGTGAGACACCCTGTATATCGAAAGAAGCCTGAAACCTCACAGTATCTTTTACGAACTAAATTTACGACCTCGCTATACCGCGCTGGCTATACGAGCACACTACATTGTTTCCACCGACTATACTCGCGTCTGCGAATCGTTATAAAAAGCGGAGTCTCGAAGGCACGCGATTTTCACTGATCAACGACGAACACACGGGCTCATTTCATCCTCCATTATCGTCCAACCAGTCTAATTTTCAAAATTATTCAAGCTCCTATCGTTGTAAAACGTGTTAGAGGGAATGCTCGCGATCGCGTTCTGTTTCATTGAATTTTCTCCTCTTGCTTGAATTGTGTCAATTGTTTAAAAAAAATTGTTGTCGCGCGTTCCCGCTACTAATTCGGCTATTTCATTTTTCATTTTCAGGGCAATGCTTAAACGTCCAGACCGGAAGCAAGTTCGCGAAGCAAGTTCGATCACAATTTGCCGCAGTTAACCGACCAAAGAACGAACGAACAGTTAATTAATTTAAGAGATTATCTATATCTATATACACACAGTCACACGTATAAATATATACATATATTATCTATATACAATGTGCTCGTTTATGACCGTTTTAATAATAACAATGATTATTCATATCCGAGAGCAAATGACCAATCATGATGTAACATTATACATGGGTGTTTTTTCCTTTGCCTAAAAAACACGTGTTCTTCGTATGAACCCTTCAATTTCTTTCCCCATAAAACTTCAAGTATCTTTGGCGCTGATTTTGAGAGATATATCGGGTGTGTCGAAAGTTTTTGATATCGTGTGCGAATAGTATCGTTATTTAGGCTGTTTATATAATTTATGGGGTTTTATGGTTATATGGGAATTATGGTGATATGATGCTTTCATGGTTATATAGGATTTCTGAGGTTATACGGAATTTTTATTTATTTGGGGGTTCTATGATTACATGGGGTTTTATGGTTATATGGGAATTATGGTGATATGATGCTTTCATGGTTATATGGGATTTCTGCGGTTATACGGAATTTTTATTTATTTGGGGCTTCTATGATTATTTGGAATTTTTATGGTTATGTAGGGTTTCTTATGGTTAGATGGGTTTTCTTATGGTGTTATGGGATTTCTTATGGTTTTATGGGGTTTCATGGTTATATGGTGTTTTTTAAGGTTACATGCACCTGTTATGGTTACATAAGATTTTCATGAGTAATATGGGAGTTTTATGATCCTATGGGGTTTTTATGGTGTTATGGGGTTTTATGATTACATGAGATTTTCATTGTGATTTGTGAGTTTTATGGTTACACCGAAGTTTTGGGCTATACGGGCTTCGTATGATCCTATGGGGTTCTTATGGTGTTATGGGGTTTTATGGTTACATGAGATTTCCGTGATAATACCGAATTTTTAAGATTATATGGGGATTTTGGCTATATGGGGTTTATTTTATCCTATGGGGTTTTTATGGGGTTATGGGGTTTTATGGTGTTATGGGGTTTTATGGTTACATGACATTTTCATTGTAATTTGTGACTTTTATGGTTTTATCGGAATTTTAGGCTCTATGGGGTTGATATGATCCTATGGGGTTTTTATGGGGTTATCAGGTTTTATGGTGTTATGGGGTTTTATGGTTACGTGAGATTCTCATTGTAATTTGTGACTTTTATGGTTTTATCAGAGTTTTGGGTTCTATGGGGTTCATATGATCCTACGGGGTTTTTATGGTGTTATGGGGTTTGTGGTTACGAGACATTTCCGTGCTAGCATGGGACTTTTATGATTATATCAAGGTTTTGTGGCTATATGGGGTTCATATGATCCTATGGGGTTTTCATGGTGTTATGGGGTTTGTGGTTAAATCTAAACCTTGTACTCATATGGGATTTTAATAGTTACTAGAAATTTACATGGTATACGAAATTTTTGACCTCCTACGGGTTTATCAAATTCATATGGAACTCTTATGGTCATATGGGGTATTCATGGTTATACGAAACTATTATGGTTATATAAAATTTCCACGGTTAAATGGGAATGAATAACCATGAAAAATTTGTGATTCTTTCAAACAATATTTGATAATTGTAGTAACGGTTGAAAAATCTATGGTGTAAGTGTTTTCAATGGAATCCGAAAAAAAAGTTTTGAAATAAATGTTGTGATATAATCATATGTGGACTTTGGAACACCCTGTATATTTCTTCAACGATGATTTACAAATATATATATACTATCATTTATTTATAATAATATTTTATTATACTATTCGATAAGTATCTTAAAAGCAAACTGTGAATTTCACGTTTGTTGTGATGTTTTATAATTGTTTATAGTTTTCGAATTAAACTTATGAACAGTATATTGAGAGATTGCATACGAAACCTGATTCGAATTCAGTTGTTGAGTTTCTCGTCGATTGTTCTATAGGTAAGTTGGCAAGGATATTTTTTCGTATACCGTTCAGATTTATTCATATAAATTTTTCTCTTTGAAAACTAAAATCACGAAACGAGAATTATAGTAAAGTATACCGCGTTGATTTATCGTGACAGTGAAATCGATATGTCCGACAAATTAATTTGAACAGATGGTTATTAATTATGGAAAAGGTGAGAACAAATGCTGGAATCCCAGTCGACTCGTAATACGCTTTTCATTTCATGAGAACGCTGTTCTTTTTACTTTTATTCGAGAGGATGTCGGCTTCCTGGGGACAAAGAGACCAAGATCGAAGCATTGTCGAGAGATAAGATCGTTTAAGTAGGCAATTTTCCTTTGAACCTGCTCTCTTCTCGCTAATACTTTGTTCAACCCTTTGTTCACCTCATTTGACGACGAATTTTCCCTTGAGTGCAAGGGTTCTGCAAATATTTTCGAGTTGGTCAAAAAGTTTTGTCGTTCTTTTGAGAATATATTTGATTATGAATTCAAAATATGTGACTAAAATTTTATTGTACAATGTATAAGAAAAATTGTTATTAATTATGATTTTTTAATTGTCATTATTATTGTTTGTTCTTCTGGAACATGGATTATTTATAGGAATGTCTGTAATGTAATATTCAGAAAATCATAAGAGTGCTTTTTTAAAAAATGCATTCATAGTGCAGTGACGCACCAGGTGCGTCTTATGAAGTGAACATGCAATTTAAATTTGTGCGAATTTAAGATTAAAAGAAGAAATAATTACTTCACATACTGTGGTATGTAGAAGGAGACAATCTCATTTTGAAAATTGCATCCTTTTATATTAAATATAAGTGACGCACCAGGTGCGTCTTATGAAGTGAACATGCAATTTAAATTTGTGTGAATTTAAGATTAAAAAAATAAATAATTACCTTACATATTTTAGGCTTTAGAAGGAGACAATATTCTCATTTTGAAAATTGCATCCTCTTATATTAAGTATAAGTGACGCACCATGTGCGTCTTATGAAGTGAACATGCAATTTAAATTTGTGTAAATTTCAGATTAAAAGAATAAATAGTTACTTCACATATTGTGGTATGTAGAAGGAGACAATATTCTCATTTTAAAATTTGCATTCACTTATATTAAATATAAGTGACGCACCAGGTGCGTCTTATGAAGTGAACATGCAATTTAAATTTGTGTAAATTTCAGATTAAAAGAATAAATAGTTACTTCACATATTGTGGTATGTAGAAGGAGACAATATTCTCATTTTGAAAATTGCATCCTCTTATATTAAGTATAAGTGACGCACCAGGTGCGTCTTATGCAAAAGTCATAATATTAAAATTGACATTGATTTAAAATTAAATAAAATTGCATTTGTCAAAGACAAATACAGTGTTCAAACATAAATTGATATAAATAAATGTCTTCCATTGACGACACAACTTTTTGATTTGAAATATTATTTTAAAAGAGTTAAAATTAAAAAAGGTTTTTAGGTGTCGAAGGGTTGAAAACAAAGAATCTGTACAATTTGTACGTGTAAATAGAACTGCTTTCATCTTGTATCTCCCTTTTGTGAAGAAGTGTTTTTGAGTGACGTGAATATTTATAAATAATTGAATTAAATATAGGTACATGAAGTAGTAGCTTAATTTAATTGAGATTACAGGTGCACCAATTGCAGCGAGTTTAATATAATAATTATTATAAAATGGTGATTTGAATGATGCTTGACAATTAATCGAAATTTATTGATTTTTCAAATTTTTCAAATTGCAAGTCAAATTTTTTTAATTATCAGAGCAAGATTAATAAACATTTTTTAATAAAAACGATTTAAATTATGCAGCTTGTAATTATTTTTAATAATAATGCAACCTGTTGCATTCAGTATGACTCAGAATAAATTGTTTAACAATTGAAAAGTTTAATTTATTTATAAAGATAAATTTTGTTTATTTTAATGTTATTGTGAGGAAATATATATAATTATGTAAAAATTTGATCATAATGTAATAATGTCAATTCCAGTGATTATTTAAAATTAAAGTAAACATGTATGAAGTTTTTAACTTTGAAAAATCAGTATCATTCGAATCATTAGTGTATTTATTCACCTCAGCACCTTAATACATTCATGCTATATAATGAGAGTTAACTAATGCTTTAGCAATACACTATTAACCCAAGATTCATTAGAAAAGTCTGACAATATTTCATTTAAACAAATATTAATTATATATATACATTTATTAAAAACATGTATATGTTAATTACATATTAAGACAAACATTCAGAAAATTATTTAAAAATTATAATTTCTCAGTTCTATATTACATTTCACATTAGAAATTGAAGAATACAATTCAACTACAGTTTAAATATTAATTAAATTATAATTTTAATAAAATAAATATTTTTCTTTTATTCAAATTTATTTTTTAAATATTGAATCAGTGGCAATATTAATAATATCAATTTATAATCAATATAAAATCGATCGATCTTGATATTAAAAAAAAAATAAATTGATCAGTTAGGTAGTGAGAATAGTGATGTAAATAGTAGTTAGGAAAATTTCATAAATGTTATCAAATTGTTGCTTTATTCTAACTCTCTGCGTAAATACCTGAAACTATATTTTTGTACCATAATTTCCAGATTTACTGCTCGTTGAGTGCGTATTTTGTGCTTCTTAAAGATGCTGCCAATAATTATTAATTTAATCATTTTCTTTCAATCAAAACATTTTGATCATTACCAATGATCAGTAAGATGATTAATCAGTTCAATTAATCAATTTAATCAATCAATTTAATTAATTAATTTAATCAATCAATTTAATCAATCAATTTAATCAATCAATTTAATCAATCAATTTAATTAATTAATTATCTGATTAATAATTGACTAACTTTGAATATCTCATTGACGTTCGATTAGTTCACAATTAATTTACAATTACTGATTTACGATTGGCAGCATCTCATCTCCCGATTCTATCGTCTCATGAATATAGTAAAAGTCTCGAGCCTAACTGTATTTTCTCGAAAGTAGCGCTTTGTACCCCGACTTCTCGCGATCTCTCCCTGTACCGAGTTCGAGGACCACAGATCATTAGAATCGATAATGATTATTAATTATTCCATTTCTCTCGGTTCTTTTATGTCCCGATGGCCGATCCGACGGCAGAGGGTGCCACCGATTTGTCCCGTAAGACGCAGCAAAAGCTTCCCCAACGAAAGCGAGACAACCGACCACGCAGCCGAACTCGAAGATTTCCTCTCTTCAAGATCAGGTACTACTCAAATATTCTATTCGAATCGACTATTCAAATATTTAGCAATATTCAAAAAATATCCATAAACATGTAGACACTACAATAACACGGCCAACATACAATGCATCATACAATAATTATACAGGGTGATTCATCTAAGTGATCCAACCTAAACTTACTGATTGTTTTCTAAAAAAAGAAACTATAGAAAAATGATTGAGAAGTGGTAGATATATTGAAAGTAGCAGAACATATACAGAATGCAGTAATAAAATTTTTGTCATTTTAACTTTGTGTTAAAATATGGTCGCCTTCAATTTTTTAATTATAATGTACTTAATTTTCTGACGCCATTGAAAAGAGTGTTTAATTACGAATAAAAAACTGCTAGGGTACATAGGTTCAAAAACAAATAATTACCAAGATATTGTTCCTTAACACTTCACGAAAGATGGTTTACAAAAATGAATCACCCTGTATCAAAATGTTACCAAGTATCTATAACAAGTATCTCCATAATAAATCTTCAGTTCAACCACTCAGCAAAGCCATCATGTCGCTCTTGTCAGGTGTAACAGAGCTCTCTATGGACAAACCGGAGACCGACGAAGAGGACGAGCACTGGAAGGACGCGTCCCCTCACACGCCAACCTGCAGTCCCACAAAGCGGCTTACAAAATTGTCCACAGGTCCCAGATCCACAAAGACCGTCGAAGTGGACATACACGAGTTCCAGCCGACGAGTCCGTTGCACGAGAAGGACGTGATAATCCTGGAGAGCGGAGCGTCTCCGCCTAGCAGGAAGTTGGCTATGAAGTACAGTCAGGACGTGGCGCCGAAAGTGAAGTTAAAGGCAGAGACAGAACCGAAAGTGCCTGAAGCGCCGAAGCCGCCCGAACGTTCGGTTTCCGAGAGGAGGAGAAGTCTGAGGCGGATGGACTCCGAGGAGAGGATGTCCTCGTCGAGGGAGACGTTGAACAAGTCGGATCTGACGGACAAGGGCGCCCGGAAGAAGATCTTCAAGAAGAAGGACGAGCGGAGGCCGTCCAGGAGGAAGGATGACTCTATCGAGACGTATGTGGACGCCGAGGATTCGAGGAGGCGCAGGGAACCGGAAGAGGTGGTGACGAGGACCAGGGAGGAGCGGAAGAGCCTCAGGGAGCAAGAATGTATCGAGAGGGTGACGGAATTCCTGACGAAGCACAGTGTGCTGTGTTATTCCGAGGGGACCCCGGTCGCGGAGGCAGAAATAAGCCTCCAGGGACCTCCAGCGACCTCGGAGCGGCCCACCACCTTGAAGGAACCCGAAGAACCACCCGGACACGCGGAAGAACCACCCGGCAAGAGCGAAGATGGCGGTCAGAGGCTGAGGGACGAGAAGACCCCAGAGTACATAGGTTCAAAAACAAATAATTACCAAGATATTGTTCCTTAACACTTCACGAAAGATGGTTTACAAAAATGAATCACCCTGTATCAAAATGTTACCAAGTATCTATAACAAGTATCTCCATAATAAATCTTCAGTTCAACCACTCAGCAAAGCCATCATGTCGCTCTTGTCAGGTGTAACAGAGCTCTCTATGGACAAACCGGAGACCGACGAAGAGGACGAGCACTGGAAGGACGCGTCCCCTCACACGCCAACCTGCAGTCCCACAAAGCGGCTTACAAAATTGTCCACAGGTCCCAGATCCACAAAGACCGTCGAAGTGGACATACACGAGTTCCAGCCGACGAGTCCGTTGCACGAGAAGGACGTGATAATCCTGGAGAGCGGAGCGTCTCCGCCTAGCAGGAAGTTGGCTATGAAGTACAGTCAGGACGTGGCGCCGAAAGTGAAGTTAAAGGCAGAGACAGAACCGAAAGTGCCTGAAGCGCCGAAGCCGCCCGAACGTTCGGTTTCCGAGAGGAGGAGAAGTCTGAGGCGGATGGACTCCGAGGAGAGGATGTCCTCGTCGAGGGAGACGTTGAACAAGTCGGATCTGACGGACAAGGGCGCCCGGAAGAAGATCTTCAAGAAGAAGGACGAGCGGAGGCCGTCCAGGAGGAAGGATGACTCTATCGAGACGTATGTGGACGCCGAGGATTCGAGGAGGCGCAGGGAACCGGAAGAGGTGGTGACGAGGACCAGGGAGGAGCGGAAGAGCCTCAGGGAGCAAGAATGTATCGAGAGGGTGACGGAATTCCTGACGAAGCACAGTGTGCTGTGTTATTCCGAGGGGACCCCGGTCGCGGAGGCAGAAATAAGCCTCCAGGGACCTCCAGCGACCTCGGAGCGGCCCACCACCTTGAAGGAACCCGAAGAACCACCCGGACACGCGGAAGAACCACCCGGCAAGAGCGAAGATGGCGGTCAGAGGCTGAGGGACGAGAAGACCCCAGAGGAGCCTCTGAAGACGCCTTCCTCTATCGACTCCGAGAAGCCGCCGGGTTCTTCGGCGACTGTGGTGGATGTAGCGGGTGTGACGAGTCCGGAGAGACCTCCCGAGGAGCCGAAGACGGTGACCAGCCCGGAGACGGAAGTGGCGCCGGTTAAACGGAAAAGCTCTATGCGCAAGAAGCCGGCGACGTTCTCGAGGGAGTCCTCGAGGGAGTCCCTGCTGGACGACGCTAAAAAGGAGGTCAGAATACAGGAGAACGTTGAGGAGATCTTCTTTGAGGACGTCAGTGAACAGGTGACCGCAGTGCTGCCGGAAGTGCAGCTGGTGAAGGCTAGGATCATCACTGCCGAGGAAGCGGTGGCGAACAGAGCGGAGGAGCCTCAGACCAGGATCGAGATACACTCGCCACCGGAAGTAGCGACGGTTCCAGACTCTGTTAGGGTCAAAAGTGGTCGGGTACCTTCACCGGAAACGGTGAACATGTCCCAGTTGCAGCTGGTGAGTCTGGCTAAGTCCACGTCTGAGAACACCTTGGTGGAGACGGAGGACAAGGGCGAAGACTACAAGATCTCCGTGAGGAACATCAAGGCTGAGATCTTGTTGGACTTGTCTAAAGTCCCGGATGCTGGAGACGAAATGGAGGATTCTGTTGACGGGGAGAGGAAGGACCGGAAGTTGAGCAGGACAGGAAGCGAGGGGTCGAAGAGGGCTGCGTTGAGGGCGCAGACGAAGATCAAGGAGCGAGATGGGTTCATGATTAGCAGTCTGGCGCAACCGGATGAACCGGAATTGACGATTTTACTGGAAAATGCGGCTATCGAGAGGAGGAAGATCCTTGGGGAGGAGGAGATGGCACGGGATGAAAGGTAGGTGCTAGTGTAATTTTGGGTCAAATTACAAAATTGTTATTTAATTTATACAAATTAATATTTAAACAATTTTGGGAACACTTGCTAATTCCATTTGTTTTTGGGCACGTTTCTATAAAAATTTTTTTGGATTGTTGTTATTTTTAGGGAGATCGCGATATATTGCATTTTTGGATTAACTTCATACTTTCATAAAGTGTATGTTACATTTCCTCTTGTTTTTTTTAAAAGATAATATTCTATTTAAGTATGATGTAAACACACAGACTGTAATGAATGCGTAATAGAATAGACTCTCGTTATATTGCCGTGGTAAAGGCTTTGGCAAATTGATAGAATGATGAACTGATAGATTGATAGATTGATATATTGATGAATTGTCGAATTGATGTTTTGATGAAGTGATGAACTATTGCATTGATGAATTGATGAACTGATGGATTGGTGAACAGGTGAATTGATGAATTCATGTATTGATGAATTGATGAATTGCTGAACTGATGAATAGATGTACCAATAAATTTATTAACTGGTGATTTAATAGGCTGATACTGTAAGGACTAACAAATTAACGAACTATGTATCAGTGTACTGTTGAATTGGTGAATTGATGAACTGATACATTGATGAATTGATGAATTGTTACATTGATCAATTGATGAAATGATGAATTGACACATTGATGAATTGATGCATTGATGAATTAATGGATTAATGAATCGATGAATTGATACATTGATGGATAAATGAATTATTGCATTGATGATTTGATACATTGATGAATCGATGAATTGATGGATTGATGAATTGTTGCATTGATGATTTGATGAAATCATGAATTGACACATTGATGAAATAATGCATTAATGCATTGATGAATTGTTACATTGACACATTGATGAATTAATGCATTGATGCATTGATGAATTGATGCATTATTGAATTGATGAATCGATGAATTGATACATTGATGGATTGATGAATTATTGCATTGATGATCTGATACATTGATGAATTGATAAATTGTTGCATTGATGATTTGATGGATTGATGAATTGTTGCATTGATGATTTGATGAAATGATACATTGATGGATTGATAAATTGATACATTGATGCATTGGTGAATTGATGATTTGATGAAATGATACATTGATGGATTGATGAATTGATACATTGATGCATTGATGAATTGGTGAATTAATTATTGGTAGCTTGATAACTTGATAACTTGACAGCTTGATAATTTGGTTACCAGATAATTTCAAAACCTAAAAAGTCAGACATTCAAAACTGTATAAATTCATAAACTTGACAATTCATGAATTTTGCTATTAAATCATTTTTTTAATTTGAAAGACTATTTGTAAATTTGTGATCTACATATTCGAAAACATAGGAATCTCTAAATATAAAAATGTAACAATTCGATTCCACGAAACAGTGGAATTATGTACAAAAAAAAGGCTTCATATGTCGATTAATGGAGAATGTTATTTCCCATGCAGCTTACCGACCGGATTACACGATCGTTCGTCGAAACCCCGAGAAATGCGCACAATTGGTTGGAAATGTAGGTCGACTGGAATACCATACAGTGTTTCGCGACCCGAAAATTCGATAACCACCACCCCCTTCCGTCTTTTTTACCGTTCGATCACCAGGGGGAACTAAAATAGTCCCGCTAATCAATCGTTTTTCTTCTTGACATCGAATGTCTCGAACCTCCTTTCGATTCGTTCTTTAACTCTGCTCTTTAGAAATGTTCCGCTATTCAAATGTCGGAGGCAATCATATCGAACAATAAATTTTATGATTTCTACCTTTACTTCTGACGTGCTCTTTACGCGTTGTTTATTTTACGACGTTGGGCATTTTATGGATCATGCAAATTCGGTTTTGTCGTTGATGGACTCGTGTTGCGAGGAATTAAGAACTATTGTAACTTGTAGTTTCTGTTTTGCGGATAATTTTAGATGCGAGGTCTGGTTTGTTTAGGTTGGGAACTTCGTGAGCTGACAGTTTGGCATTTTGACAATTTGGTAATTTGGAAATTTAAATATTTGACAGGTTGGCAGGTTGACTGTTTGCCAATTTGACAAGTTAATAATTTGACAGGTTGGCAGTTTGATAATTTGTCAATTTGACGAGTTAATGATTTGACAGGTTGGCAGGTTGACAATTTGTCCATTTGACGAGTTAATAATTTGACAGGTTGGCAGTTTGATAATTTGTCAATTTGACAAGTTTATAATTTGACAGGTTGGCAGTTTGATAAGTTAATAATTTGACAGGTTGGCAGTTTGATAATTTGTCAATTTGACAAGTTTATAATTTGACAGGTTGGCAGTTTGATAATTTGTCAATTTGACAGTTTGGCAGTTTGATAATTTGTCAATTTGACAGTTTGGCAGTTTGATAATTTGTCAATATGACAGTTTGGCAGTTTGATAATTTGTCAATTTGACAAGCTAATGATTTGACAGGTGATAAGTTAATGATTTGACAGGTTGGCAGTTTGATAATTTGTCAATTTGACAGGTTGGCAGTTTGATAATTTGTCAATTTGACAGTTTGGCAGTTTGATAATTTGTCAATTTGACGAGTTAATGATTTGACAGGTTGGCAGTTTGATAGTTTGTCAATTTGATGAATTAATAATTTGACAGCTTGGCAGTTTAAGAATTTCACAGGTTCATGATTTCATAGTTTAACAGTTAAACAGTTTTACAGGTTTATGATTCGACAGTTTGACAGCTTGACAATTTCACACTTTGATAATGTGTTAATTTGACAGTTTGTCAACTTCACAATTTGACAGTTTCATAATGTATCAGTTTAATAATTTCACAGCTTGACAGTTTCATAACTTAATACTTTGACAATATCACAATTTGTCAAATTGACAGTTTGACAGTTTGACAATTTTACAATTTGATAATGTGATAATTTGACAATTTGACAACTTTACAATTTTACAGTTTTATAATGTGTCAGTTTAATAATTTCACAGCTCGACAGTTTCATAACTTAACACTTTGACAATATCACAATTTGTCAATTTGACAGTTTGACTGTTTGACAATTTTACAATTTGATAATGCGACAATTTGACAGTTTGATAACTTCATAATTTGACAGTTTTATAATGTGTCAGTTTAACAATTTCACAACTTGACATTTTCATAACATGACAGTTTGACAGTTTGACAATTTCAACATTTGATAATGTGTCAGTTTGACAGTTTCATAATGTATCAGTTTAATAACTTCACAAATTGACAGCTTCATAATTTAACAGTTTCACAATTGAACAATTTGTCAATTTGACAGTTTGATAGTTTGATAGTTTGACAGTTTGATAGTTTGATAGTTTGATAGTTTTACAGTTCGACAATTTGACAGTTCGACAGCTTAACAGTTTGACAGTCTGTTAGTTTGACAGTTTGATAGTTTGACAATTCAACAGCTTAACAGTTTGACAGTCTGATAGTTTGACAATTTCACAGTTCATTTATTCACCAATCCTCCACTTAAAAACCCAAAACCCCAGAAAATTCTTCATATCAATAGCATCCCTACCTCCAACCCTCCTCATTAAAACAAAATCCGTTCCAACAGAAATTTTAACGACCGCCCTCGAACCTAACCTCGATTTCGCATCTAAAGATTCGAATGAAAGATTGAAACTAAAAAAAGAAGAAGATAAGAAGGAAAACAAAACAGTAATCTGTGAAGCAGGTGAAAAGAAGTCGGATCACGAGTCGGGTAGAATCCCGGAAAGTGGGTTAAAGGAAATAGACAGCATGGTTGCAGCGTACCGGAAACCGGCAACGGGATATAAATATAGAAAAGTGCAGCCATCGAGCATAGACGAGACGATAAAAGAGATAAGGACGAGTGCTACGAACCGCGGTACGATGGCGAAAAGAGGAGGGAAAGAGAGCGAGACGATGAATGCCGTCGAAAGGTTGTCTTCGTTCAACTTCGAGCGGTCGACGAAACAGAGAAACGTTTACAGAAACCGGTAGGGGAACAAGGACGATATGGCAGGGTCGGCGCGGAATATTTTTTTTCGGGTGCGAAATTTTGGGAATTTTGGGATTTAAGTTTTGGGGATTTTTGGGTTTTGGAAATTTGGGGAATTTGGGGAATTGGGGGAATTTGGGAACTATAGGGATTGCTGGGAATTTGGATATTGGGATTTTAGAATTTTGGGATTTGGGTAACTGGGGGATTTGGGAATTTGGAACTAGGGAAATTTGGTGGAATTTAAGAATTTGGAAATTTGGGATTTGGAAGTTTGGGATTTGGAAGTTTGAAATTTGGAAATTTGGGTTTTTGGAATTTTGAGAATTTGGAATTTGGAAATTTGGGAATTTGAGAATTTGGGATTTGGAAACTTGGGTTTTTGGAATTTTGAGAATTTGGAATTTGGAAATTTGGAAATTTGGAAATTTGGGAATTTGAGAATTTGGGATGTGGAAACTTGGGAATTTGGAAATTTGGAATTTAGAAATTTGGGAATTTGGGATTTGGAAATTTGGGATATAGAAATTTGGGATTTGGAAATTTGGGATTTAGAAATTTGGAATTTGGAAATTTGGGCTATAAAATTTTGGGATGTGGAAATTTGAGAATTTGTGAAATTTTGGGAGTTTTGAGAATGTTGGGAATTTAGGAAATTTAGGAATTTTTGGAATGTGGAGAATCTAGGGAATCTACGGAATCTAGAAAATCTAAAGAATTTTGGGAATCCATCAAATCTAGGAGATTTAGGGAATATATGGAATACAGGGAATTTGGGGGAATTTAGAGAAATTAGAGAATTTAGGGAATTTAGGAAATTTTGAGAATTCAGGAAATCTTGGAAATTTAGGAATTTAGAGAATTTAGGGAATTTAGGAAATTTTGAGAATTTAGGGAATTTTTGGAATCTGGAGAATCTAGAGAATCTAGAGAATCTAGGGAATCTAGAGAATCTAGCGAATTTTGGGA